ATTTAGGAAAATACATCTCGAAGCAGTACGAGTGTGAGTTGGAGAGGGAAAGAATGGACGAACAACAACAGAAAGAAGTTCATTGGTTTTTTCGTTTGGTAAGCTTCCGTGAAAAAGTAGAAGACCCGGCTGTATCCGAACGCAATCCTGGTCCAGTGTCATGAATGGAACCGGTGGCACGAGCATCGTCCGTTAAACGTCGACGCGTGTGAGTTATTGGTTTTTTCGGACCATTAAACATAGAGAATGAAGAAAGCATCTGGCGGAAAATGAAAAAAGAGAAATGCTATGTAAAAACCCTTGGTGTGTAACTTGCAAACTGAGTTATGTCGCACGGCAGCGAAATTGGAGTAACTTAGCGCTGATTAAAAGGACACGAGAATTACAATAATGATAATATTTTTTACTTCCTTTTATAGAATATATAAATGTACGAACGACGACCAAGAGAAGTAGACTGCAGCCACTTGGGTAAACACAGAACGAAAAAGTTGAACGGAGGTGGCGGGATGCGAACCGGTGTTCCTTGAGGCGATAAGTTGCTCAACCTTACCGTTTGAACACCACTGCCCAAGAATGCACTGACTGAGAGCAGCGATGAGAAAAAGCGGACAGAATACCCAATTGGTCATGTTGACATGCTTCCTGAAAACTGCTTTTTTCTGAGACAAGCAATCTGTTATGCGCTTATCTTGTGTAAACAGGACACTAAGGACTGAAAGACGTGGGCGTCTTGCTGGTGNGTGTCAAAGCCTAGCGTTCACTTCTTGACTAGATTCCGCATTGTAGCCGACTGCGCTATACGTCTGGATGGTTTAATACGGGTCAACAGTCACAGAACGAAGCGTCGATGCTTATTCGTCGTATCCGTGTATGCACCGACTGATTGCAAATCACCAGAAATCAAAGGGGAATTCTAAAAGGATCTCTATCAAATGCTTCACAGTGCTCGATCAACGGACGTATAAATAGTCTCCGGAAACTTCAATGCTCATATGGGATCCCTGGACGAATCAGAAAGATCTCTAGGTGTCCGATACGCAATCCTATCTAACAGGACGGACAACGGAGACCGCTACACTAACTCTGCGCGGACCATGGGTCGTTCTTATCAAGCAAAATTTTCACACGAAACGACGTTGTCTTACACGTAAATCACCAACCTCTTCACAGAGCTGGATTCAAATAGACCACATCGCCATCAATAAGCGCTAGAGGGGGTCACTTCAAGACTACCACTCTCACTGATCAACACTTGTGGATATGGACTAGACTGTTATAAGCCAAATTCTCCCCACATCTGGTAAGCTACCGCAGAAAACCACCGGAAACGGATGATAACAAAGCAGAACTCTCTCATCACCTTTCGGTTTAAGCATCAGCCGAGGGACTCAATGAACACTGGGTGTGAGTCGAGGAAGCTACCCAAATGTCAATTAAAACAACGGTGGACTCTGGTGCACGATTAAAGCACAAACGATGGACCTCCTAGTCCTCGATTGCCTTGATGGACACTCGAACCTAGCTAACTCCTGTGACATTCATCAAGCGGGTAGTATGTTCTGAACATGTACAAATCGTCGAAGAAGTAAAACCTGGTATTGTTGAATACTGTCAAAGTAATCAGTGGTTCACTATATTGAACTTCTTTTGTGCTTCTAGGTGACGAAGTCTTCAGGGAGAAAAAGTCGGCATCGTTAGTATCTCTGATGATGGCTGGCTATGCGCAGTGTTCGATGGCAGGGTAGAGAAAGAATGGAAGCCGGTAATTATTCCAACTTTGGTGGTTACATACAGCTTTCAGACCTAAGTGCTACGAGTACTCTTTGAGTGTGATGATCTATGCATCTAATTGATACAACAGCACCATTG